AGACCGCGTACCTGCATGCCCAGTTAGACAAAGAGCTGTACGTGAGGATTCCTCAGGGAGTAAGCCATTGGGAAGACGATGTGTGGTTGTTGAACAAGAACCTATACGGCTTAAAACAATCTGGTAAACGATGGTACGAGTGTCTCACAAAAAGCCTGAGAGAGATGGGCTTTTTACCATCGTCGGCTGACAAGTGTGTTTTTGTCAAGGAAGATCAGGGCATTAGGGAAACAGTACTGTTGTACGTCGATGACATACTATATATTTGCAGATCAGAGAACAGGCATAAGAAGTTCTCTGAGGACCTAAGTAAGAGTTTCGCCTTAAAACCATTAGGTCACATTAGCAAATTTTTAGGGGTGCAATTCGTAAAAACCGAGAAGGGGTTTCGGCTCTCTCAGGAAGATAAGATTCAGGAATTGCTTAAAAAGTGTAGCATGGTAGAGGCGAAGCCATGCGATACCCCTATGGCAACAGACTTCCTTAAGAATATGTACACTGAGAGCACGGAGTTTGAAGATAAGACCCTTTACAAGTCCGTGATTGGGTCGTTGTTGTACATTGCAAATTGGACTAGACCAGACATCAGTCTAAGTGTAAATGTGTTATCTAGACATTCTGAACATCCCACACAGTACCATTGGAGCGGAATCAAACGACTCCTGAGATACTTAAAGGGTACTGTGAACTATTCATTGTTATTGGAACCAGAAGCAACTAGAGAATTAAGATTGAGTTGTTTTTCGGATGCCGATTGGGCAGGGGATGTTAGATCTAGAAAAAGTACCTCGGGGTACATTGTATACCTAAATAGTAGCCCCGTGTATTGGTACTCTGGAAAGCAGAAGCTAATTGCAACCTCCACAGCGGAAGCTGAGTATGTGAGTTTGTCCAAAGCTTCCAATAACCTAGTTTGGTTTGACGATCTTCTGGTAAGCTTATGGAGGCAGCCCATGCAACCTATAAAAGTCTATGAGGACAACATGGCTGCCATTAACATATCGGAAGCTGATGCTGTAGGCCAGAGATCACGCCATATTGATATACAAAACAAACATGTGAGGCAATTGGTAAAAACAGGTTTCATTAAGACTGTGTATTGTGAAACCAAGGAACAGGTAGCGGACGTGTTTACCAAACCGCTGCCCCATGACCAACACCTCTATCTTCTGGGTAAAACGTCGATGGCTATGTGAATGTACTTACCATTGATGTATATATGTACCCAATGTAGAATGTATGTTTGTTAACCAGTCAAATAGCCGCAGAGAAGGGGATTGTCACGAGTGTTTCCAGGATTGCTGTGGCTATCTGCCTACTCACAAACAGTATGGTTTCAATCAAGCCATCTACTGTTGGCAATTACCTGCAAGCCTTCCCCGCCCTAGTTAATTGCAGGTTAACTCCCTATATAAGCAAGGACCTTTTGCTTGCTACTTGGGCCTAGTCTTCTAGGCCTAAATGCACAGCTCCTGCAGGAAGCTTGGTGCAACGCCGCAGATGGGAGAAGAATGCAGATAAGGACTCCAGACGTCGCCACAGAGAGACTCCCACGGATGCTTGCCTTTTGCTGTTTTGTAGCACGCAAGCTATCATCGGGACTGTTGTTGCTGGACCTTCTTCCTCCCACAAGCTTCAAGCAATGTTTGCTTTTTGAACTGTTTTTACTTCAGGTGACTTTCAGCTGTGAAGCTCGTGCTGCTCCCATTATGATTGCCTTGATGATGTATCGACGCCGAAGCTGCTTACCTTCATGCTAGCTTTATTCTTTTGTGAACTGTTTCGGTATTGTGGAGAGGGATCTAGGGAGATAGCCTTGCTTCACATACCCAGATAAGACTTTGTTTTTAATGTGTTTTCTTAAAGACATAGTGCTTTTTAAATGTTTTAAAGTAAATTATATTTTTACACAAGAAGCCTCTGTCAGAATCATTTCAGTCTCAGTGTGTTTACTCATGAGCTGGTTCACGGTCCGGGGTACCCCTCAACCCCATTTCGTCACAGTTTGGAAGAAAGATAACAAATTATAAGAGGTTTTGAAAAATTACTGAATATTTTGATAAACAATTGGATTTAAAAGACTATTTTGCAATGTGTAGAAACTGAGAGTGCCATCTGCTGGAAAAAAGAAAAAGTACTGTGATACTGTATTCAAATAGACAAAACAGGAAGCAGCTGTTTGCAGAACAAAGGACTATTTTAAGAAGAAAAAGAGAAAAGGAGATATAAGAAAATTACATAAATTTAAATTTAAACGTTTAAGGATTGACTATGTTTTACATCTAGGAGGCTGTTTTATTTCCGTTCTCTTCTGGAAGAGAGCTTCATTCAAGAGAGCTGAATTTGAATAATAATAAATAATTGAGAATAACATTTTAATTTTAAAGAATAAAAGGAATAATCAAAGAAGGAGAAAGCAAAGAAGCAGAGATACAAGAAAACTATATAGTCCTTAAAATCTGGTTAAGTTCATAGAGAAATAATTGGGGAGGTATTAAATTGTTAAAAAATGGAGTTGCAGATGTATGAAGAGTTACTTTTGATGCTTAAAAGCATGCGTGAATTTTTAATAGGCAAAGAAGAAATGGAAAATTCATTTAAAAATACAGAAAAAGAAAAGGAAGAGGAGTTGACAGAGGAAAATTTAAACGAGAAGCAAGAAATTAATAATGTTGAAGAGCAAGTATTAAAAAATAAAAATGAGATAGAAAATTTCACAGAAATGTTTGGGAAAGTTAAAAGAGCAGAAAGGAAAGGGGAAAAATTCCCCCTTAAAAAGAAACAGACAAAAGGGAAAAAGGGGAATATCTGGAAGAGACAAGGGAAAACTTTAGTAAGGGAATTCAAACAACAACAACAACAAAAAAAAAAGATAAAAGGAGCCAGAAGAAGAAATGTAACATATATAAAAAGAACAAAAAAAAAAGAGAATTGAGAAATTAGAGCGAGATGAACGGTCGTGCAATAAACTATTAGAAAGGGGGATGTTAAAAAGATTTCGAGATGATGGTTAAAAATGAGATGATGAGGTAAACATTAGCAAATATACATAAAATAGATTAATAAATGGGAATGGGAAAGTAGACAATATAATAATAATGGTGTTTTTTAAAGCTTTTTAAATTAGAATGAAATTTTAATTGTTATAGTAGTGGCAAGAGAGAAGAAGTATAGGATATACTGTGATGTTAGCTAGATGAAAGCATTAATGAATTGATAAAGAAATATGTGAGAATAACATGGCAGAAATTGAAAAAATAAGATATGATGGAAAATGGTTATAAGTGATTATATGATAAAGATAAATGAAGCCCAGCTGCTGTGGCCTAGAGGTGGAGCTCTTGCCTCACAATCAGGAGGTTGTGAGTTTGATCCTAGGTAGGGGCAGATGTAGGTAACCCTTCATCTGAATAGAATTTGTTTACATTAAATTCTAATAGATAGAAATACAAAAATAGGTAATTTGACAGTACTATTAATTTTGATAACAATGTAATTAAAATGAATATTTAAAATGCTAATTGTATAGAAAATAATAATGTTGAAAACATGAAAATGTTTCTTTTTGCAAAGAAGAAATAGAATATGTTGGTGATAAACCATAGCAGATGGAAAGGGGAAAATAGATAATTTAATCATATTATTAATTTTGATAATAAAGTAAATTAAGATGACTGTATTATTATTAATGAATGAGAAAAAGGAATTAGAGGGACTCTTCCGGAAATGAAGAAAGATGGTAAACAACTGGAGCAATTGTCATTGAGAAGAAATATAAGGCACAAAGTGATGTTATTCAAATATAAAATTGAAAATGATAAAAAATAATGGAGGGGGGAATTAATATGGAAGAAGTTGAAATAATAAGATATGGAGAAAAATAACCAAGGAAATCTCAAAACTAATCAATCCCTAGGTGGCCATACTTGCAGATTCAATCTAGGTACAAAAAAGATAAGGAAGAATTTGGCATTGAGGTGAAAACAAATAGATTAGACAAATTACTGACAGGCCCAGAAAAAAATAGTATTATCAAGATTATATAACTATTTATTAGAATTCAATAGGGCGGAAGAGGTAGTAAAAGAGCCGATGATAGCGTGGGCCAAAAATATTGGACATAATATAAATTTGGATGAATGGGAGACGATCTGGAATAGAAACCATAAATTAACATAAATAAGCGGCAACATACAAATAAAATCAATATAAAATGTTATATAGATGGTACCTAGCGCCCGCGAGATTAGCAAAAATCTATCCAAATGTAAGCCCCAAGTGTTGGAAGTGTGGATGTCACCAAGGTACCTTCTTTCATATGTGGTGCTCCTGTCCTGAAGTGAAAAGGTATTGGAGAAAAATTCAGAATTGGCTACAAGAAGTAATAAATGAAAAAAATGAATTGATACCTGACACATTTCTCCTGGGAATACTAAAGATGAAATATGGAGAAAATAGAAGATATTTAATCATACATATACTCACTGCAGCAAGAATAGCCTATGCCCAGTACTGGAAAGGAAAGGATATACCATCAGAGGAACATATTATTCAGAAAGTTCTAGAATGTGCCGAAATGAACAAATTAACGTTAGAATTGAACAAGAAAGAAGACTCAGAATATTATACAGTGTGGGATGATTGGTACAGGTGGATTGATAATCGAGTAAAGAATAGATAGAAGTTAATACAAATTTTAAGATGCATATAGGAATACGGAACGATGAAATGTAAAGATAGAATCAATCTAACCTGTGTATAAAAATAACACTGTCTGATTGATTGTATTGTATTGTAATATAATAAATTTCAACAAAAATTTTTTAAAAAAAAGATATGGAGAAAAATGATAAATTTGGGATAAAGGATTACACAAAAGAGATAAATATTGGAAAAAATAAGATTAAGAAGTATTCTAATGATGATTTTGATTATGTATATGATGTATAAGATGTGAACTCTGTTCATAAAATATGTATGATGAAAGAATTTTTAAAAAAAAAAAAAAACAATAGCCATACATCTTAAAGCATTATCACCTAGCAACCCTCATAGGACACGGCTGAATCAATTTGAAACAGTGTTCTATATTACAGCATCCGAAAGATACCTTGCCAATTGTACTGAAGTGTCCCAAGCCTTTTAAGAAAATTATAAGGGTTCTATTCCCCACATTCAATTTTCACTGTATTGGTGCATAGGCTTAGCCACTTGAAAAGTCTCTCAAGGGTTTGGAAAACAGAGAAAAGACACCAATGTTTCACCCACCTTATTGAGCAACCTTAGCTGTGAAAGAGCATCTGGATTGATAATAAGTCTCTGTCTTTCAAAACTCCCCACTTGTTTTATAACGGGATCCTCCCTGGACAGAACTATCAAGCTTACGAGGTTCAAATCTGCTGTCACATCCCCATTTTGGTCCAAGTACAGTTTCACGTGGGAAAGATTGCAAAAATCGTTCTTCTTCAGAAATGGATGGAACTAGAAGAGAAATATCCAGGAATGTTAAAAGCAGAAATCTTGGTTTTTCTATCACACGTTGTTGTTGTTTTCAGATTTGAGTCTTTCAGCTACAGTGGTCTCACTTGAGTTGGGACAATGAGTGTTATCACTGTCCTCAAAAGGGGAAAAGAAAGGTTCAGCAAAATTTGTCAATCATATAAATATTGATAAAATAAATAATTGATGAAATTGGTAGGGTATAGGGAGCATTCTAGACTGGATCACAAATAAATTGAACAAACAAATGAAAAGATAATTCATAAAGCCCTTGAAAACAAGGAGAGATTCTGGCTGAATGAAAACCATTCTAAAAGGAGGAATAATTTTACAGCTGATCCCGTGAACCAGAGAAGTTTCCCCTTCACTGATTGTTTTAATGCAAAACAGCCATCACTTAGAGAAGATTTAACTGGGATTCCTGCAGACAGAAAGGGTTATGCTGTATCAGTGATGGTGAACCTTTTTGGCACCAAGTGCCCAAATCAGAGCACGCGCCACAGCTCTAGAAACCCGAAGACCAGCTGGCCGGCATACACAAGTGGCGGCCACCTGGTTTTCAGGGTTCCAGCAAGCACATGTGCACTGGCCAGCTGGTATTGGGGTTTCTGGCATGCACGAAGACTAGCTATGCGCCAGAAACCCAAAGAACAACTGCCAACAGTGTGCATGCCCGCAGAGAAGACTCTGAGTGCCACCTCTGAAATGCGTGCCATAGGTTCGCCATAACGGTGCTAGGGTCTCCTTCAAATGTATGAACATACAATTCTAAAACGCTAATCACAAATTCATAAAGATAGGAATTTACTTCAAATGCATACATATTTTATAAAATTAACTGTTTAATATCAAAATATAAATGTCATGGTACCCGCTCTTTGGAAAATTATCCACAAGTGATTAGATGGACCAAACTTGTTGGCCTTTTGAAGCACAAAAAGGTTGAGATAGTTTCCTTTTCCCCTTTGTATTCCTTATCCAAAGAAAGTAACTTTGATGGATCTTTGTCAGGACCCCATACCTGCCATGGCTGCAGCCTTTGAGTCCCCAGCCTCTCTTCTCCCTCTTTTCTTCTCCTCTTGGATATGGAGGAATATGCAGCATTCAAGGCATGGGCCAGAGTATTAATCAAAGCATAAACATGGTAGTTATGTCGGTACAAGAGCCAATTTCTTTCCACTTTGGTCTTCAGTGGAGATTTCTGAGTGCATCTTCTCCGGCCTTTGACAGAAATGATGTCTTCTGAAAAAGAACAGAGAAAAGATTGATCTCCTAACTGTGGTTGCACAAAGAGATCTGGTTCAAAGGAACTGTCCTTTGGCCTTTTTTTCAACTGGAAATTGTAGATCCAAACACTATGGATATATTTCAGGAATATGTGTCTTTTTATTTGCCTTTCCCCAAGGACTGCAATTATCCAGACTTTCCCTTCAATGGGTTCTGGCAAACTTTTAAGTGTTGAATGGAAAAGATGAATTCTGTCCCAAACAGCAAAATATTCTACGATGTGAACAAAGACATTGACTTGTCTCCACTTGGAAATGGCAACCCTGAGGGGTGCTGTATGTCCAGCGGGTGAAATTTGTTCTGATATAACAGCACAAATTCCATTCCTGACCAGCATAGAACTCAAAGTCCTCATGGAATTCTCTCCCTTCTCTGTGTCTGAAGCAAAGAGACCAATCAAGGTCCATCTGAAATGGAGGAGCAGTTGGACAATTCCTGGGTAGTGGATCCCTTCTTTGGGGAGCATCCGGTAAAAAAATGAGAATTGACTTTTATCACTCAGAGCCGCTGAAACCATGTTATAAGTGATCTGTAAAAGCAATGAACAATGCCGTCATTCTTTCAATAAATGCAACTTTTTCCTCATCAAGGTATTAGAATATTGTATTCCTGATTAGCTAATATTACAGACAGAATATTAGCAAGACCAGATAAAAAATACAAGAAAAGAAAGGAAGTAATTAAAAAAACAATCAGAATAAAGAATGCAAATGATATTTCTTGATTACTCCCTTTTTTTCTGAAATCAGACCCACATTTGCAGATTCAACTGAATTGTTTTGTTCAAATAAAGAGCCATATTTTATGTAAGATTTTTAAATTCTGTCCACAAAGGTTATATGTTGTTTTAATATAAGGATTTTGACCTTCTCCTTATTTTCACAGGTGTGCAGTAGAAGCCCCCAAAGCAACGGGGATGGTGTCATGAGATGATAGGGCTGCTTTGCTGCTTTTCCCCTCCCCAGTATCAATCCCATCCATCACTAGACAATATACCTACACTGGCCACAGAGGAAAGCAACTCTTTTTTTTTTATTGCAAAAGTTTTACAATTACATTTTCACCCCTTTCCCCCCCCCCGCCTCCCCCCCAGACTTCCCAACCTCCCTAACCCTCCCTAACCCTCCCTCCCCCCAGACTTCCCTATAATATACTCATACTCATAAAAAACCCTTAATATAACACTTATATGTAAACTTGAACCCCTCCCTCCCCTGTATAATTTTTCTCTTTACCTCATTACATTAAAATATTTCCAATACATTATTTTCAAATAAAAGCTATTTGATACTTTCTAGTTTGATATTTGTTCTGAACATATTCTATCCACCTTTTCCATTCCCATTCATAAGTCTCTTGTGAACAATCTTTTAAGTATGCTGAGATCTTCGCCATCTCTGCAAAACTGGCCATCTTCAAAGTCCATTCCTCGATAGTGGGCAAAGCTTCATTCTTCCAGTATTTACCTATCAACAATCTTGCTGCTGTTATCATATACAATATCAATTTTGTTTCACCCAATGTAAAACCCTTAACTATACCCAATAAAAACAGTTGTGGAGAAAATTGAATTTTTTTCTTCAAAACATTCTGCATGACCCACCAAATTTTTATCCAAAAAGCCTTAACTTTCCTACAGGTCCACCAAACATGATAATACGTAGCATCCATACATTCACATCTCCAACATTTTGGCTGAACATTAGGGTACATACATGACAACTTTTTGGGATCTAAATGCCATCTATAAAACATTTAATAGAAATTTTCCCTCAGGTTCTGCGACTGTGTAAATTTAACATTCTGAACCCAAATTTTTTCCCATGTTTCCAACATCACTGGTTCTTCAAAATTTTGTGCCCACTTAATCATACAATCTTTAACTAATTCAGTTTCTGAGTCCCTTTCTAGCAAAACATTATAAAGCCTTTTGATATGCATTGGACCTTTCTCTCTTATATGTCTAACCAATTCTTCCTCATGCAACATAATACCAGTTTTTTGGTCCTCTTTCCATCTCAATTGTAATTGATTATATTGTAACCAAGTTAAATTAATCCCTTCGTCCAACAGTGTCTGCAATGTCTTCAGCTGCCATCTGCCCGCATCTGTAAAAAGAACCTCTTTGTATAAAACCCCCCGAGTGACATTATATTTGTATTCCACAAAGTATGACCAAGATCCAGCCATAGCGGTATTTTATAATCCCATTTGAGTCGATGCTTCTTCCAAACTCTCATCAAAGAGTCTCTAAGTATATGACTTTTAAATACTTTATCAACTTTGTCATCATAAAATAAGTAAGCATGCCATCCAAATTCAAGATCAAAACTTTCTGCATTCAATATTCCAGCCTTTTTACTTCCAAACCAATCACTTGTTAAAGTTAAAGCTGCTGCATCATAATATAGCTGTAGGTTTGGAAGTTTAAGACCTCCTCTTTCTGGAACATCTTGCATAATTTTCAATTTCACTCTCGGCTTCTTCTCATTCCAGACGAACTTATTCACTCCAGATTGCCAAACTTTCAATTGTTTATCACTTTTAAGCACCGGAATCATTTGAAACAAAAAAAGAAATCTTGGCAAAATATTCATCTTAACTGCTGCTATTCTTCCAAGTAGAGACAGCTGCAGTTTTTTCCAAGTCTCCATATCTTTCTGCACCTCTCGCCACAACACCTCATAGTTATTTTGAAACAATTTCATGTTTGATTCTGCAACCTGAACTCCTAGATATTTTACCTTAGGTACAGTCTCAAAACCTGCCCTCCTTTCAAGCTCATGTTTACGATCTTGTGTCATGTTTTTAACTATCATTTTAGTCTTTTTTGGATTCAGTCTAAAACCTGAAACTTTACCATAGTCTTGTATAATGTCCTTCATCAAGATTATTGATTCCATTGGTTGTGATAGGGTAACAACCAGATCATCTGCAAATGCCTTTATTCTGTAATCCTCTTGCCTAATCTTTATACCTTTCAAGATATTAGAGTCCCGTATTGTATTTAGCAAGACTTCTAGTGTTAAAATAAATAAAAGTGGGGACAACGGACATCCCTGTCTTGTTCCTTTTTCAATTTTAAACTCTGTTGTCAGACTTCCATTAATAATGATCTGTGCCTTTTGCTCTTGATAAATTGCCGAAATCGCCTGTATAAATTGATCCCCAAAATCCATCTTTTTCAAAGTCTTTAATAGAAAATTCCAATCCACTCTATCAAAGGCCTTCTCTGCATCCAAAAAGACCAGCACTGCAGGGATCTGTTTATTCTTCTCAAGATATTCCAATAAATCTATTACTTGCCTTACATTGTTCTTCATATATCTGCCCTCGATAAATCCCGCTTGATCATCATGAATCACCTTTTGAATTACTGGCATCAACCTGTTGGCTAGTACTTTCGCAAAAATTTTATAATCTGTATTCAAAAGAGATATTGGTCTATAGTTCTCTGGTTTTTTAGGACCGATTTGTTCTTTTGGTATCAAAGATATGTAAGCTGTTGTCCATGATGGGGGTATTTTACCCCCTTGCTGAATATTGCAAAATAAATCTCTAAGTTGTTCCACCATTTCAGCTTGCAAAGTTTTGTAATACACTGCAGTCAAGCCATCCGTGCCAGGAGCTTTAGCTGTTTTTAACTGTTTAATTGCTACTATTATCTCCTCCTCTGTTATAGGATAATTCATTCTTTCCTTTTGTTGATCAGTAATTTTTGTAACTCTTTTATCGTTTAAATATTTTTCTATAAGTCCATTCTGCACCTCCTCTTTAGCATATAATTTAGTATAATAGTCCACAAAAGCTTCTTTAATTAATTTTTGTTGAAAGATTTCTTTCCCTCCAATATCAATACTATCAATAGTCCGTATACTTTGTTTTTTCCTCAATGTGTAAGCCAACCATCTGCCCGGTTTATTAGCATTACAAAATGTGTTATGCTTCGCATATTGTAAGTTTGTTGCAACTTGTTCCGCCATAAGCATAGGAAAGCAACTCTTGAATGCCCTAGAATGGATATGATTGAATGCATTGCTTACCCATCCTACCGATTCACTCTTTTTACTAGATAGAAAGGCACACACACAAACCTGTGGGACTTTGTAGGTGTCTGCTAATGTTGACATCTGGATGGAGATGTCCCTGACAGCTGCATTAACAAGAGCCAAAAGGTGGTCCTTCCTTCCACAGCTGTAGTTGGGAACATTGGCTTCTCCAGTGGAGAGCATGTCCAGCAAGGCATCTGAAGTGCCAATAGTGTTCATATAGTTGTCATGGATGTCGTAGCCAAGTGTGAGATTTTGCAGGAGCTGGGAATTCTTATTGACCACTTGAATAGCGAAAATAAAGCGTAGGATTTTAGACCGATCAGAAGATATGCTACTGTAAAAGAATGTTCATTTTTATCATCACCATTACCATCATCATGAATAGCAAAATATATTTTATATTTTTGATATATTTTTGCTTGACTAATCAAAATAAAGCATAGCATTTTTCAATGAGCATTAGATAAACTCTTGTAAAAATGAACAAACAAACTGTTGTAAATATGATCATGACATTATCATCAACAGAACCAACAATATACTTCTTTTCAATCTAAACCACTTTCTCTTTTGAAGCCTACTGTAATTGAATAATTACAGTAGAACTGCCATAAAAGGAAGAGGATGCTTCAAAAGTGATCCAGAAACCAATTCTAAAACTAAGTTATCCTGTATTTCTATAAGGATCTGGAAGTAAATATCAATGAGTAGTTGTATTTGAAATGAGCTGGGAAGGGGAAAACTACAAGAATCACTAATTTAAATAAAAATCAGTATTCAAGTCATGAATTCAAGATTGAACAGGCAGAGGAAAATAATGTGGACTTGTTTCATATTATTTTTCTGTTCCATCTTTGGATTTGAATCTGTTCCTCAAAATAAGACAAAGAAAGCATGGAAATT